AAGCGGATATAAACTGGGCTTTGCACTCCGTTCATTTGGCAGTGCCAAAAAGCAGCGAACAAAGGACAAGAGATGCTCCTAGCCCGGTTGAGCGCAGATTAAGTCGTAAATTGTGCGTTTCGGACATGCAGAGGTGTCATTGTCATCACACATTTTCCACAACCCACAGCCTTGGGCATAATTAACAAGATATGGCCGAAACAAAGCCTTTTTCGCGCTCCTTTGTCAGCGGGAAAAACTGGTGATGCCTCTCTGTGACAGGTTTTTAAATTAAATCATGGCATTATGGCGGATAATTGGCCGCTTGGCAGCTCGTTTCGGGCTGGAAAAAAATAATTAAGGACATCCAGCAAGAGTGGAAGCCATCAGCATCTGAATTTTCTGCAGAAGCAATCAGTTCGGCAGTCCATTGTGGCAACATCTGAAGGTGACTGGAAGCACTTGGGGGGACTTTAATTTGCGGCTCAAAGGACTTAAAAGCCCATTACTATCTGGCGGGCAAACTTTTACCAGTAATTCCCAATGAAAACGCAATTTTTGCCAGTGGTTTTCGCCGCTCTTTGAAAAGAGTTTTATCCGCTCCACGGTATGCGATTCGAGCCCAGCCCCTCCCCTCTAGTTTATTGGACTTTAATCTTTTGCCTACTGATTCGGCAACTTATTACTTAAGTTCCCGCTAGGCTAAATATTTCAATAAACTTTTGGCAAAGTTCGCCGCCGCGGCCGAAAATTCCAAGGGAAATCGATGAGGCCAACTGTTGGATAATCTAATCTGGCTGAAGAATACCAATGGCCAGGAGAAATTACAATAAAAATCCATTTCCATATTCAATTTGGTTAAGTGGCGCTCAAATCCGGGAAGCCCCCGGAAAACATTTGAAAACTGAAAATGTAAATGAAAATGAGAGGCTGTAAAACTATTTCCAGTTCGTCTGCGTCAGCAGTTTCGGCCATAGTTATAGTCCTTGTAGTCCTGCAATTCTTTTGATTCCGATTTTGTGGCTCATTTATGCCCTTAACACGCTCCCAGGAAAACCTGGGCCAAAAAGGAAAGAATAGTCCAAACGACATTGTGTGACACATTTCCATTTTGGGGAATTTCTTCATTTCTGCTTTGTTGCGTCGTCTTTTATTTACTGCGAACAAGGGGCAGTGAACAATGCACACTGTTGTTGGAAAATGGAAAATGCGAAAATGGCAGTGCAAACGATGGAAATTGTGAGCTATGTTTGGCGGAATAATGCCGCCCGAGGTCGGGATAAAAAGGTAGAAAGGTAGATGTGAAAAATACCAGCACGTTAAATTGAATTTAACGTGAAATGCAGTGAAACGAAATGAAATTTTCGCTGTCGCACTGTCTAACAAGTGGGAAAGCAAAACAAAGCGGCAGGAAAATTGAAAAGGAGCGAGCTGAGTTGCTCGAAAATAGCCGATAAGAAAAGAAGCTGCAGCATTATCAAACATAATACGAAACTATTGAGAGAAGTGCTGTATCCAGCCAAAAGCAGAAAGCAAATACTTCAAACGAATCGAATTGAAACGAAACGAAACGGAACGGAGGCAAACGAAAGCGAGGCGAATCGAATATTTATTGCCTTTATTAGCGAGTCGATTGAAAAATTTACTGCGATCAAATTCTATCTGGAACGCTTCGCTTCATTCACAGCCAGCTGCTGGCTTATTCTGGGGTTTTCTGCGGGATTTCCGAAGGGGGTGGAGTTTTCCTGGCCTCTCTGGGCATTGTGTCGGCTCACAGCCAGCAATTCATCTCCGCGCGCCAAAACTTTTCCATTTTCAGCTACCTGACGCTGATGCCTCATCCGAAGGTAACAACATTTTTGAAATTTCGCTGGTTGCTGCAGCTTGTTTTTCACTTCCACTACCATTTGGTTTGAGATGTTTTCCCTTGTTAGTCCCCACTTCCCTTCTCACCACCCCACCCAAAGTCTATCTTTTGGTCCTGCCCATTTGTTTTCAATTTGGCGCAGCACCGAAGAAGTTGTTTTCCATCATCGCTCCACTATCCCCTGGCAATTTGCCCTTCAGCCAATACGCAAATAATTGCGTGTATATATTGGGGAATATGTTCAGCGAGTACTTGCAAAAAGCGAGGTCAAGCTTACACTGAAAGTATGTCCCTTACACACCAGAAGTATGTTATCCAAAACAAGAGTTAAAGATTATTGATTAAATGAAGTAGTTTTTAACTAGTTGACATCTTCTCATTTACAACTTTAACACAAAACACCACAAATTTGTAAAAGATTGCCTCTAACACAGTTAAATACATGGGCTGAATTTGAAAAATCTCATATCAACTTTTAAGACATTCAATGCGCACTCTAAAATGGATCAAAAGGCAAACCAAAAAACTGTACAATTTTAAAGTTAAATATGTACAGAATTTACAGAAAATTTTAATATTTACCTATTGAAAATTAATAAATAATTTAATGCTCTAAAGTGTAATGCAAGTTGGTTTTTTTGGAAATTCTTAAAGGAGTTGGAAGCATTTATTATTTAAGCTTCAAATGAAATATCTGATAATATTAAGAGTAAAATCTAAAATATTAATAATAAAAAGGAAAGGATATTTTTGAAAGGGCTTTGCTTATTATTAAAAAATATTTAAGAAATATAATTTTAACGATTTTATTTCCATAATATATAAGGCCCTTATGTGCAGTGTAAAGGAGCAGGGCCTCGGCCACGGCGATGCACACTCGAGGGTCCTTATAACTCCGGGGCTGTCTGGCTGCCCCTGCTTGGGCGCAAACTTATCGCATTACTGTGCCATAAGGGACACTGGCAGCAGCTTCGTCCGCCTCCGCCTCCGCCTCGTCCTCGCCACGCCCCCCGTCTGCATATGTCAGCGTATTTCCGGAGAATGTGTGCTTGCCTTTGTCTCTGGCAGTTTACCTAATTACATTCCGGAAATAAAACGTTGACTGATTGCGCCAATAAATGAAAATAATGACGCACCATTGACTGCAAACTGGAACCGGCGAACGGGCAAACTTTTTCCCCGACTTGGCTTTAAGATACCCAGATACCGGGCCGAAGAGCATACGAGCAGGAAAACTTCTTGCCCGTCGTCTGGCATTCTTCCTCTGCAGCATTTCTTCTGCCTTTCTCCTGCCCTTCTCCTGCCTTTCACTCTCGCTCTCACTTTTTTGCGGGTCCTGACGAGTTTATTTGCTTGAGCAGCGTTAACTGATTGTCTGTGATTTTCTTGTTTTTAGATAATGAAAGCTGCTGCAGCAATCTGCGGCTGCGGGTACATAAAATAAAAGTAAGGGTTCCCGTAAGTATGTAAGTATGCCCCGACAACAGAAATTGCCGGCCATTTATACGGATACTGGGCGAAAGTGAGATTGAGTGGGTCAGTGTGCCAGATATCGGGGGTAAAGTGGGGGAATTAACATACTCGACTTGATGTTTGATGTCAGGTTTTCATTGCCTGATATATGGTTATTATTTTCCAGTTTAGCAGTTTGGCCAAGAGCAAAGATTATTTAGTCATTTTGGTTCGGTATGTACCAGTGGAAATACAAGAAATATAATTTTTTTCACTTTAAATAGGAAATTATATAAAACTAGCCCATCTTTTGAAATTTTACTTATGGAACATAGCCCTGTCTTAAATATTAATATGAATTCGTATTCAACACAACTATTTACACAATTTAGCTGTTAGAACAAGACAGAATATGCTCTTGTGTTATTTTTGTTAAATTTCAATGAATTCAACATTTTAAAATTCATTTAAATTTTCACCAGTCTCATAAAATTTCATAACTTTTTTTTTGGCAACCACTAGAAACCCCTGGGTTCTTTAAGCACTCCTTTCCCTTGTTAGCCAAAGAACTCAAGCGGAATTCGGCATACCAGCTGGGAAGATAACGCCTTCAACGCGCAAATGCTTTCAGTGCTCGACAAGGTCTAAAGCGTGTTAGCCATCTTCAGCTCGAATTTCTGGCTGGCACCAAAGTATGCAATGTTCTTCTGTTTGCACAAATCTGGCCAAAGAACCGTGAGCTGGCTGAAATGGAAAGTTGGCCCAGCTGGCTTCCCGAAACTTGGTCCCAACTAATTTCAGCACAATAACCCAAATTAAAGCGGTTTGCTGGCGCTTTGTTTGTGCCCGAATCGAGACGAGAGACGAAGGCACAATCGACACTCGGCTTATGGCTGCACAAAAGCGAGAGAGCGGTGAAAGCAGTTGGGAAGAGAGCGGAGAGAGTCAAACTATGCGCACAAAAAACAAGGGAACAAGGAAGAGAAAGCGAGAGAAAGCAGGAAATGTTTGCTATAAAAATCGAAACAGCTGTTGACTGAGAATTGACAAAATTGAAAGTGGCCTCTAGAAATGGATATAATTTAATTAAATTATATTGCAATTGGTTAAAACAAATATTATTAACAAATATGTAAAGTTAAATTATTTTTATATTTAATTATAACTCTTTAAAGTCATTAAAATTGGAGAATTAAAATTCACTGGCTTAAAGCTAAAACAAAAAATTTTAAATAAAAGATAAGAATTAAATTAAAAATCAATTTTTAATTTTTGTAAGTTAAAGCAAGTATGTATTTTTTATAATTTAATTATGCTTACAAATGCATACTTTTTTCAAGAGCTTCTTTCATTTTTGTTATATTATTAATATTTTTTTGGGTGGCAAACAATTTTTATTAGTTTACAAGAATGTTACTAGATAATTAAATAGTTAATTGCACAAATTTAGCCACCGATACCCTTTTAATTCCCCTTTTGATGGTGGTCTTGGTTTCTCCCCTCCAAAGACCAATTAAGCAAACATTTTACGCGAACCAGAGATGCTATAAAATATGAACAAGAGTTTTTTCAAAGAAAACGAGAGAGAGACCCAAACACGAAGCCTGTGCAGACTTTTCCGCTGCTGCTGCTGATGTTGCTGCTGATGTTTCTGCTGGTGTTGCCTGATTTGCCTTGGTTCCTCGTGTCAGTCGCGTGCGAAAGCGTAAAGTAAACAGACAGGCGGCTAAAGCGGCAGCAGGAAAATCAGGAATAGCTGGAAAAGCAGCAGCCGTGCAACCGAAGGCACAGCAACAACACCAGTGACGACTGGCAGGCGAAGTCCCACGCTGCTGCTTAATCAGTTGAACTTTGACCACGGCGGTAACGGGTTCGGTGCGGTGGAGTTTTTTTCAAGCGGGTGTTGTGCGGTCAACGCGGCGTATGCGCAACGTGGTCAATTGATTGCAGAACAATAAATGATGAATTTCGAATATGCTGGCATATGGCAGCCACGTGCGCCCAGCTAAAATGTGACTAAAGGATTTACAAACCAAAAACAAAAGTCAGACCATAAGCGAAAATAAAACAATAAGAAATCGCTTAAATAAAACATGCAAAAGTTAATTGGAAATGGCGCTTGGCAATGTGGTCGCTTAAAATGTGCATAAATCAAAGCAGAAAATGCATTTAATTAAGTTTCAAATAACAAAAGAAAACAAAATAGTTTAGTGGGTGGAATCAAAAGAACAATTAGAACCGGAGCAAAACGATTCAATTAAAGCAATGTCATCCAATTAAGAGGCAAGTGCAGTGACAAATGAAATGAAATTTAAGCGCTGATAAATTGAATCACAAATGCAAAACAATTGACAGCAACAACAAAAATCGGTAAAAAGTGCAACAACCACAGCAGAAGCAGCAACAGCAACATCAACAACACCTACAACAAAATGCCGGCATCAAGTGGATTATATCGCATCAAGCATGGCCGTGTCCTTGACAGGCTGCAAAAACCCACGGCATATATTTTTATTATAGCATACATTGCGGCATGCGGCATTTGCGGTAAATATCCCACACACGCACAGAAAAACATCATGACTTTTGACTAAAACAAAATAACGCCCACAGACATAAAAACAAAGCGTAAAAAGTACGCAAAAATAATGGTGCATATAATTACATTTATTTTATGCACCGATATTCAATTTCGTATTCATAGCAATTTGCGGGAAACATCCAATGCTGTGTTCACCGAACACGATATAATTTAATTAGCGGTTCTGTAAGGCATGATATATTGTCAAAATGCATTGGCTGATACCCTATCAAATGAAATGTGGCCAAGCCGCAACAAAGGAGAAATCGAGTAAATCGAGAAATCGGCAAATCGAGAAATCGTTAATTTGTTACATTTCATTGGCGCTGTCGAGTGCAGTCGACAGGTCAGGCGATGGGCGCGGAAATCACCTGTGCATCACCTGTCAATGGCTGACACCGCAACAACAGCAATGGGACTTTGACTCCCCGGAGCACAGCCAGAAACACTTGTCTACAACTCGCAATGAAAGCGACTGTCTGTCTCTCAGTCTCAGTCTCAGTCCGTCCCCTCCATCCGTCTGTGCGTCCGTCTCTTTCGTGCTGTGTATCCCCCTCTCTTTCGCTGGTTGGCTGGCAATTTGTCAAGCAATCAACAAAGCCAGAAATCGCCTGGCAATAAGACAGAGCGCACCAGAATGTTGGTCTGCCAATCGGAAAGGGGGCAAACTTGCCGTTTTGGCGGAATGCGAAAAAACCTATTGAACAGGCAAAAAATGGGATCAAAAGTGCACTGAAAAATACAATTGGGTATTTAATATTTTAGTTATTTCACTGTTGCTATCTGGTTATTATTGTTTTTGTTTTTAGTTTAAACACATGACACTTTAGGGATTTAATGCTGATCATTTTTATGTGTGCCAACTTGTGGTAATAAAGTGCACTGAAAAACACAATTATATGCTTATATTCTGGTTATTTCAATGAATATTCTCTGGGTATTATTGGTTTATTTAGTTAAGACCAATGGGACACTAGGGGCTGAAAATTTGTATATTGGCCAGAATCGGGATACAAAGTGCACTGAAAAATAGATTGAAGGGTTCTTAAATCGGGTAATTTTGTGCTTTAAATGAATTATACCCTTTAGAAATTGGGAACTTAATGCTGATCATATTAAAGCTATAAAAGGAATTATTTACACTGATTAGACCTTATTGATTGTATTAATTTTTAAGAATGTAAGCGACCTTTTTCCCAAAGACTTTTTTTTTTAGAAATTGTGTTTATTTTTAACATTTCGAATATTAGAAGTTTGGGCATTTCTTAGCTATGCTAAGAAATGTTTTATATTTATATACAGAATTATTATTTATATTAAAAATAGGAACTTTGATCTTTTTTCTTTTCTGATTTAATTTTCGTTCACTCGACATCAACAACTTATTGCTTGATTTAAAATCTAGATTTTTGCCAGTGATTGAGGCCACATACCTAAGAGCACCGATATGTGGAACTAGAACACTGGCTGTGCCACATTTTGTGCGTGCCCCCGAGGGGAATGTGTCGATGGGGAAAGGAGGTGGGGCAGGCGGACCCTCCCATCCGTAAAATCGTCACAGAATAAAAAAAACAGTGCCACGTCTTCACACACACTTGCACACAGTGAAGCCTCAGGCGCAGACACACACACACCACTGCAGTTGCGAGTGCCACTGGCGACTATCTAGCGCACCCATTGTTGCATGCCACATGCCACACACACACACACAGAAACACCAACACATGCCTTTTGGGGCACACACTCCGGCTGCCGTTGAATTTGTCGTTGTCACTGTCAATGCTGTAATGAAAAATGCACAAACACAAAAACGAAATACGAAAAAACAAACACTGGATCCGAACCTGAAAATAGAAATAGAAATAAACAGAGGCCGAAATAAAAATGCAGAATGCACAGCAGCTTAGGGCCAAAATGAAAAAATAATTTCAGCTGCGCCTGCCGCTTTTTATTTAGAGCGCATTAATATTTAGCCAGCCGCATGAACGTGCCTAGATACATGTTCAACCATACCATATAGCTCATATAAATCAATATTTATGCCCGCGGTGCATGTCTGTGGATCGAGTCATGGGATTTTGAAGGCCAGCAAAATGCATTTTTCGCTGCACCCAAATCCGCAGCTCAATGGATCAAAACATTTGCATAATGTAACCGAAAAAACATTTTCCAAATTCTCTGCACTGCAGGCTGTATGCATAAGCAGGTGGTCTCCCTGTCTCTTTGGTGGGCTGAAAATGGGCAGATAGTCAGCAAATTCCATTCCACAGAGTTTTGGATGCGAATATAAACATAAACAAAGCAACGATCGAACGACCCTGACAAATAAACGACAGAAATATGTAAATATCTTGTGCAAATATTCACTTGTTCAATTATTCACGACGTTTAACAATCATTTGGTATGTCATTCAAAATTTATGTTGTTCTTAGTGTCGTCATTTAAGAATAATAAAGAGAAGGTAGATTGCATTTCTACATTCAGCTAGCTTAGATTTTTAATTTAAAAGTGCTTAAAGATTGTAGGAGATTGTATTATGTGGTATTGTTAAAATATTATAACTAGAACTAACTTCCTTAAGTTTATTTTAATGTTGTTCTCCTTGTGGTCATTTAAAAATCAAACAATAAGTAAACAATAATATCCTATGTTTATCTAAGACTTAAATTTATGCTTTTAAAAGAAAAATTCTAAGTTAATTTAAGTAATTTAAAAATATTTTAACTTATTAAATACCTTTTTGTTCGCACTAATTTATTCTAGTTTTTATTCAATTTATAGATTTTAAAGTAACCCATGTTATAACATGTTTATATTAATTTAATTTATAACTTCTTATTTGCTTATTTTCTACCTCAACTTTATTTAATTCTTTTTTTCGTAGTATGTTCTTAGATAGGAATACAATTAATTGAGTTGGCTTTCCTAAGCCCCGCCTTAGATTAGAATATCAGCTGAAAGAGTCTACTTAATTTCAAAGAACTTTTCCAATATGCTGCCCTGTCTTCCATTAGACAGATCGAATCAAAAGTTTTGCACTCCGGTTTTCAATTTAATCTGGTTTTTGCCACCCCAGTCAAACTGACGCTGCATTGTGTGCCAACCACGTGGCTCAAATGGCTGAAAAACAGTCGCATATTGCAGCTGCAGCTGCAGTTCCGAAGAGTTTCAGCTCAGTTCAGTTCAGTTCAGTTAGGATAGTTAGTAGAGCATGACAATTTCATGGCCCACACCTACACCCACACCCACTAGTGTGTGTATGAGTGAGAACCTCCGTTCGAAATTGTGAAATTGCTGTGAAAGTCGGGCAAAAAGTTAAACCCATTGATGCCTGCCTCGGGATAAGTGGGCCACTTGCGGCAGGGTGGGTTAATTGGGCTAACTATCGCAGGACCTATGCTGCATTCTCATCTGCCTGTTTCGGTTTTTTTTCTTGGCTGCGTTGGTTAATTGCCACAAGACCGATATCAGGACCTTTTTTTCGGAGCCCGAAACGTTGGAGGCAAAGGGCTTTGGAGCCCCACATACTCAAATTGGTCAAATAAAATTAATAGTTGACTGCTTCCGCATATGTTCTCTGTCAACTAATTGAGATATGTAAAAGTTTTAACCGAAAATAAAACAGAGAAGGCGCACAACTGAAAAAAACGTAGTAAGTCAAAATAGTTCGTACTCAATTTAAATGGTTTTCGCTTTGACTTTCATCCATTGCGTTTATTAATTATTTTGAAATATGAAAAACTCATTTTAATATCTAAAATTTAAATCAAAAATAAACTATTTTGTATCTTATATTTTCCACATAAGTTAAAATATTTTAATATTTAATTTTTTAAAATAACTTTGGGCACTGCGATTTTTTACGACAGTTAGTGGCTTAAAACAAAAGCTGCCAGAATTTTGGCATGGCATTTTATTTGAAAGTTTGAGATTGACAAATTGATTGCAAATAAATATCCTGCCAAAGTGATAGCGCATTTCCCGTCCATTTCTTAAATGAGCTTTTATAGTAAATTGAGCTCTTTTTGGCAAGAAATAAGATAATCGAAAAACAATGCCGGATGACAAAGCGAAAGACTTTTCACACACAGGGATAAAGGATGCATTTGTTAATGACACGCGATGATTGACGAGGAGGAGTAAAAACGGAGTGAGAGGGAAAAAGAACCATTTTCCAATAAGTCTTCATTGCCAGAATCATAATTTTTGAGTCAGCCAAAAGGAACCAAGGAGCAAAAAGGGCAAAAAAAGGACGAAGGCGGGGCAATCAGACTCATTGCTTGGAATCCTGTGACTCGGGTCAAGGCCTACATGTGGATATGTGGCCAAGGGGCAGCTTGAAAGAGCGTTGGCAAGCATAATTTAATACGAAACATGCAGGGGCACTTGCACACACACACACACACACACTCACACACACGCTGAATGCAACGGTAACAGAGCCATAAAGCTCACCTGTTACAAATGCAGCGCCACGTGAGCGTGGACCCATGACCCATACTCCTGCCATCCTCCTACCATCCTTTTCAATCCCATCCTGTATCCTTACACTGCGCTGTGGCAGCCATAATAATCAGCACAAAAACTAATGGTCCCATACACACAACACACACAGTCACACACACTCACACACACACACATGGGCACATGGCTGCACTTTAAGCGCTGAAAGCACGTAAATTCCACATAATTCAAAGGAGGCGCCGCCTTTTGGCAATGGCAAATGCGAAGACATGCACATGTGTGCCAGCTCACTGAGCCAAAAATGGATCTCTTTAATATGAAACTAAACTGAACTATAAGGAAGGAAATCTTTAATGAGTGACAAAGTTCTAATGGAAGGGGCTTAACGATGCATTTCCTTATGTTTAGCACATAACAACTTCCAATTGTTGGTCGTATTTTATTTATTTATATATAACTTGGAGTAATTTAAGTGTTATTTAGCTCTTAAAAAATATTTGG